AGCTTCTCAACATTTTCTCATTGTCATTCCAAGAAACAGTTCTTCTCTAATTTCTACTCAAAGAAAATTTAATTATATCTAGGTCTTATAGAAAGCATTAGGGCAAACAAAATAAATACTAATGAAATAATAAAACATCCTCAGTTGGAGGGGGAGGCCAGTTTTGTTTTGTTTATTTTAGTGAGAGAGAATTGGAGGAGATCTCAGAGATCCCAGTGACTTTATTATACATATAGATGCTGAGGCCCAGAGATGTAAAGTAATTTCTCCAAAGTAACACCGCTGTTTAGAGACAGAATCAGAACTAGAACACTTCCATTCTTGTTATAGGATGCACTTTGTGTAACTTACCCTTTAAAAGTTTCTCTCAATTGTTTTCTGAAACTAGGTGGCAGGATATAGACCAATAAAATACCATCACCAAAGGTATATGTTCATAGTCATGAAGATTCTTTGGGTTACAAGTAGCAGAAACCAATAAGCAAACCAATCTAGCCCCGAAAGCGAGGGAGGTGAGAAAATTTAGAAAAAGATCCTGGAATAGTTCCCAGAATCCAGAGACGAGTTGAACGAACGGCCAAGCCTAGGGAAAGATAGGAACCAAGCCATGGCTGGGATTTTAGTAGAATGAGCCTATGTGGCTTCTCTTCAGAGTGCTGTTGTGACCATGTCCCTCTAGAGATTTCTGAGGTGGAGTGACTCTGGTATGGGTCCCTTAGTTTAAAATTCTGAGAGAGACAGAGAAACAGAGAAGAGACAAAAGCCATTGCTCATGCTGTTCCCACCACCTTCGGTGCCCTTCTGCTTCACCTCCCACTCTAAATCCTACCCATTTTTCCAGGTCCAGCACAAACATTGCTTTCTCCATCAGAGCCCTTCGTAATCCCCAGCTAGACATATTCTCTTTGTGTGTATGTGTTTTAATCCCAGTAGTCTGTGTCTCTGTCAGTAGATTATAACCCTCATAAACCATGGCAAATTCTATGTAGTACAGTAGATCCCACAGCCTTTATGGAAGGACTAGCAGTCCTTCCAGTAGTTAAATTAAAAGGTAGGGAATCATAAAAATGATAATAGTATATATTCCTACTGCCTTAAACATTTTAAGACCCACAAATGGACATTTAGTCACCAGTGTACATGCAGGACAAGGCCTATGCTTTCAGTATAGGGTGCTGACTGAGCATCTGATTTCTCTTTCCTGTGAAAAGTAAACCCATAATTTAGTTTAGATTTTCAGTTTTGGTTTCTTTAAAAATGAGCAAAAACTTAGACACTGCGAAACAATATGAATGCAGAATCCTTCTAGACTTTTATGTTTCTCTTCTAATCTCTAGTTGTCTCTCCAGTACCTAATTTGAGAGATTTTTAGCAATTTATCTTTATATCACATCTTACAAAGCATTAAACCTAGTTTTTGTAGAAACATCTCCCTCCCCCATACTCTTTTTTTTTTTTTTTTTTTTTTTTTTTTTACCGGCCTCTCTTTGTTTTGGCCTCTCCCGTTGCGGAGCACAGGCTCCGGACGCGCAGGCTCAGCGGCCATGGCTCACGGGTCCAGCCGCTCCGCGGCATGTGGCATCTTCCCAGACTGGGGCACGAACCCGTGTCCCCTGCATCAGCAGGCGGACTCTCAACCACTGTGCCACCAGGGAAGCCCCCCCCCATACTCTTAATTAATGAGATTATGTAATTTATAATCAAATTGCATAATTACTAACAGAGTAAAACTAGCATAAACAAGTTCTGCATAGTTTGAGCAGAAGTGTGTGGGAGTAGTAGAGATTAACCTACTACCCACTAGTGTATAGTGAGCTGTGGGCATCTGTCACCATAGTTAAGACGGGAACTGAGAGCCTTGGTAATCTAGAAGTGGGTTAAGTGGAGGTCTATCACAAGTGCTTCTCGTGTGTTAAAGTGATTTATATACCTATCTCATCATCCTACTAGACCAGAAGCTCCCAAAATGTGATCTGGAAACCACTGGGTAGAGGGGTCCTGGAGACCCTTTAAGGGGCCTGTGAAATCAAAGGTATTTTTATAATAATACCAAGCCTTTTTTTGCCTTTTTCACTCTGATTTTGTAAACATTTTTCAGTTTTAGTTGCTAGTGTCATCGATATCAGTAGTAAACCCACATAAAAGGTTCCTCGGGGTTCCTCACCACTTTTCAGGCATATATGCCACACGTTTGTGAATGGCTGCACTAGCCTCTACTGCTTGAGGGCAAGAGCCAAGTTTCATTTATCTTTGTTATTCCTGATGTGTTTTTGTATTATCTTTTACATAAAGGCACTTAGTAAATATTTGATAAATATATGAGCAATAAAAAGATTATTTTTCAAGTATTTCCAGTCTTTCAAACTGGGCCAATGAAGTAGTCTTAAGTCACGATTCCTGTATTAATGAATATGATCTGTAATTAACAGCAGTGGTGTGCAAGTGGGTGCTTTCAAATGCCTTAAAATGGGATATTTAATAGCTTTCCCCTGAAATCTTAAGCAGTGTTTTGGAGAAGAAGAGAAGCATGGTTTCGTGGAAAGAATATGAAAACATGTTCCTGTGAGGCTTTAAAAAGTGTGTGACACCTTTAAATCTTGCTTAGGGGGCTGTATTATAAGTAAATTGGTTTTTAAAAAACGTATTTAGGAAGAGAGCGGGAACGGCAAAGAGTTAACAGAGTTGTGGGGTTATTTAAGAGCAGCCAATTGGTAGAAATTTTCATTGCTGCTGATGAAGACTTTTCCTTTCATTTGAGAAGCATTTGAAGGCTATTTTAGATTTGAAAAGGGGATGTGATGGACAGAAAATCATGGTTTGGGGAGGTGAATTTTACTGCTTTGTGTGAGTGAGCTTGATTGAAGAAGAGTGGTGAGGGGTGGCCAAGTTGAAATGGGCAGGTGCTTTGGATGATTTTAACCCTTTCAGGTATTATGTGTGGAACGTTGACAGCAGAAACCTTTAACCAGAAATTAAACTCATCCTGTCCACCAGGAGTAGGTACAGATAAATAAGTGGGGAACATTCACAGGTGGTGTTGAAAGGTAGCTTTTTAGTATTCAGCATTAGTAAACCCCTGGATATGTAACTAAATTATTTTCAGAGACAGTATTCCAGACCTATTTTGTTTTTTAAAAAGGATTAATTTATGTTTAAAAAGTGAACTTTTGGGGCTTCCCTGGTGGCACAGTGGTTGAGAGTCCGCCTGCCGATGCAGGGGACACAGGTTCGTGCCCCGGTCTGGGAAGATCCCACATGCTGCAGAGCGGCTGGACCCGTGAGCCATGGCCACTGAGCCTGCGCGTCTGGAGCCTGTGCTCCGCAACGGGAGAGGCCAAAGCAGTGAGAGGCCCGTGTACAGAAAAAAAAAAAAAAAAAAGTGAACTTTTTTCATGCGTTTAAGACATTATAGATTGGAATCTTTCCCAAATCTTGTTATTGTTATGGCAAGAGTTTTTCTAGATACAACTGTCAGCTTCAGTGGAGAGGCATGCTCAAATATAATACTTGTTTTTGCTTTAAGAAAATTAAGAAAATTTAAGAAAATTTTAATCTTACTAAATTCATTAATAAGAGGAAATTACTTTTAGACATTTAAACTTAAATTTAATATAAAATAATTGCGGCCTTCTTATTATTTCCTTCCTGGCATATTTTGGTGTAAGGTAGACGTGCTTCTCATCATTGCTCTTTGCAGTCATCTGTCAGCCTCTACTTGAGGTTTGTTGCATATGTTACATTGAATTATTGAGTTACTGTGTGTATTAGTACTTAGGGGCTATAATAAGGAGTTTCTAGATTTTGGAGGCAAAATCGAGAAAGGTCACCATAAGAAAAATTTTCTAACATAAATCATGTGGGCATGGTTCTATCTGCATTCTATGTTTTGGTCAACTTATCTGTTCCTCCAGTGAACTGTATGCTTCTTGAAGACTGTACTGTATTTCAGTCATCTTCGATTCTACAATGCCTAGATGGTTCCCTTCACATCGTAGGCATTTAGTTAATGTTTGTGGAATGCATGAGATCATTCGCCCTGAAAAGATGGATCATAAATGCATTGCTGATGAGCCAGAGGAGTTCCTGAATCTCTTCCAGAAACCTGGGTGAACTCTCCTGGAAATACAACTGAACCATAACTGTTCCTAACCATAGTCGTACATTTCCAGACTGCAGTAAAGCAGATACCATTCATGGGTCAGTCATACATGCATTATCAAATAAGATGAGGTCTTAAAGTGACTTGGTGCCTAGTAGGTATGCAGTAGGTGCTAACTTTTGTTTTCTCTTGAATTTTGTGTCAGGGTCACTATAAGAATTCTTACTAATGGTGGGAAAAATTGTCCTTCTGTTTGGACAGATATTCATAGCAGTTAAAGCTCTAGTTTAGATGCATCATATTAATCATTTTGCTGGAAAATAGAATTCAGAGCAACTGGCAGGCAGAACTAGTACACAGTATAACCCAACCAAGGACCTGCCTAGTTCCACAGTATTTTCTAAGCTAGCTGTACTAGTCACCGTGTATTCTAGAATTTTCTTTTTTGCACATATACGTGTGTGTGCCCATGCATGCATATACGTGTGTGTATGAATTTTTGATTTAGTGCCTTAGGCTAGCTGTGTTTTCAGAACTTACTTCTCTCCCAAAGATGATATAGCTGCCACACCCTTCAAATTTTTACTTGATTTTTATGCCCTTTTAAGCCACTCTCTTTAGGAAGAGCTAAGTGTATAAAAGCTGTTATTGGCAAGGGGCAGCGCAATAAATAAACCTGACAGAAGCCCAGTTTTTTACTAGCCAAGAGTAAGGTTTTTCTCTATTCTGACCAATGATATTACTGTAAACTTAAAAATATTCCTTTTCTTTCCTTGATTTTTATTATTAACTATATTTGATTGTAATCATTGTTACCTTGGTTAGTATGTCAAAATACAGTCTTGAACATGATAAATGTTATTTCTCAATACGTTTGTTAATTTTTGTCTTTCCATTCAAGATAAGCTTTCACTGGAAGGAATAGTGGTACAAAGAGCTGAATGCCGACCTGCTGCCAGTGAAAACTACATGAGATTAAAGAGGTTGGTGTTTTTTAACTTTAAAATAATACCTGATATTTCTTTTTTGGGATTGAAATACATACATTAGATTGTCTGTAGACTGCATGAAAACTATGGTTATTGTTGAAAGTGTTTTCTTCAAAGGTTGTTTGGTTTTAAAACCAAGTAAGAACAAACTTCCAATTATAAAATAAATGTCATGAGGATGTCATGTGCAACATGGTTACTGTAGTTAATAATACTTTATTGCACATTTGAAAGTTTACTGAGGGAATACATCCCGAAAGTTCTTACCCAAGACAAAAAAAATTTTTTAACTATTACCTATGCTGGTGGAAGTTAACTAGACTTATTGTGGTGATCATTTCCCAATGTATACAGTTATTGAATTGTTTTCTTGTACACCTGAAACTAATATAATGTTGTATACAACGGGTATAATGTCAGTTATACCTCAGTTTTTTAAAAACTCAAGAGTTTCTTTGGCAAAAGAACTTTCAGAACCTGGGCTGTTAATTTGGGGTATATTAAGCTACTGTGTTAATATAACCTGGAATCAAATTTTTTAACTGTCTTTTTCTAGTTGTCCTTATAAATCTTGATTCTCCAAAGACATGTAATAAGATCTTTGTACTGTTTTATTTTCAAGGGCTATAATTTTCCCATGATGAATATGTATCTAAAATACTGTACATTAAAAAGCAAGTATAGTTAGTTGCTAGAATACCATCCTTTTCTCTTAATCTACAAAGAACTTTTTAGAAACGTATTACTTTGTTAGAGATTTTGCTTAGGGGTCCTTCCTCCCCACTTTAGTACGTGGTTAACCTTTTGTAATTAATATTTAAAGATTATGATCGTGAATTCTTGATACTTCAAACTTTGTGACTTTCAAAGAGTCAACAGTTTTTTAAACCTGGAAGAAATGTATTTATTGTACTTGCTTTATAGTTTATATTGAATGTATTTCAACCCCATGTAGTTTAGAATTACACATTTTTTCATTTACCCAGCACTTACTACGTGAAATAGTAGTGAACAAAACAAATAAAAATCTCTACCCTCATGGAACTTACATTTTAGAAGATTGTAGCTGCTCAGAACTGGTAGTTGGGAGGACACTTTCAAGTGACAGCAGCAGCCCTTATGGATATCCAAACTGGCTGAGCTGGATCAGCTCTCAGTTTCACATTTAAAAATTTTTTCCCCTTTTCTCAATTAGATTGGAAGTCTGTCTCCTGGGAATGAAGCAAAGAGACTGGCTTTGTTCAATAATTCCTCTAATTTCAGTGCCTCCCCGGGGCAAGTAAAAGGATGACAATCAAAATGAAACATTTTTTTTTGCGGTACGCGGGCCTCTCACTGTTGTGGCCTCTCCCATTGCGGAGCACAGGCTCCGGACGTGCAGGCTCAGCGGCCATGGCTCACGGGCCCAGCCGCTCCGCGGCATGTGGGATCTTCCCGGACCGGGGCACGAACCCGCGTCCCCTGCATCGGCAGGCGGACTCTCAACCACTGCGCCACCAGGGAAGCCCGTGAAAATTTTTTATAACAGTAAATAACTTTGGAACACAGGCAGATGTTTCTCTTTGTTTCTGGCCTATAAAGTTTATTATATAATACAAGCCCTTTTGAGAATTTTTCTTCAAATAACTACTGAAATTGGAAAATGCAAAATCTGATTTCTCAGCTGCTTGCCAAGATATTTTTCTGTGGTCTTAATTTTCTTTAAAAGTTTCTAAAAATTTCTGATGATGAGATCAGGCAAGTCACCTGCTGTGTTTATGAAATGGCTGTTTTTTCCTTACCAAAAAAGACATTAAAATTGTTTAGCCTTTTGGAGTATGCTAAAAGACCAGCCATTATATATTTCAGTTACTTCAGTGACTCGAGGAAACAGGGTGATTCAGGAGATGATAATTATGTGAGTTAGATGCTATATGACATAAGTCTTGAAGGCTGAGATTTTTTTTGACCAAGTGGAAAAAGACATGAGTAAGAACACTTTCTACACAGAGAGACATGTAGGTACAGAGACCCGGGGAAGGCATCAGGGACCTGTGTGTAGTTCTGCAAGCCTGGAATGCAGGGTTTATTTGGGGCAGAACAAGCAGAAGCTCCAGCCCTTTTTTGAACTGTGAACTTAAATATCCAAAAGCCTGGTTGGATGTCCAGTAGACATTTCAAATATGTCAAAACCTGAACTTCCAGTCTTGCCCCTCAAATCTGCTCCACCAGCATTCGTTCTCATCTGAGCTCATGCCAACTCTGTCCTCCCATTTTTCTCAACCCATAAACCTTGGTTGCATTCTTGACTCCTCTCTCACACCCCACATCCAGTGTGTCAGAAAAATCCTACTGACTGTACCTTCAAAATATTATACATCTGCAGTCTGACCATTTCTCACCACCCACATGATCTGCCATTGTTTCTCACCTGGATCACGGCGGCAGCCTCCTAGCAGAGTTCCTGCTTCCACCCTTGCCCTAGTGGAGTCTATTGTCAGCACAGTAGCCAGAGCAGTTCTTTTAAAACCTGTCAAGTTGTGCCATTCCTCTGGCCACATGTCACTTCCAGTGTTTCCTGTATTACTCAGAATAAAATCCAAGTCCTTATAATTGTATACAGGGACCTACATGATCTCCCTACCATTCTCTTCCCCTTCTCCCCATTCGAACCTCCTACTTCCCTCCCTCACTCACTCTGCTCCATCCACACTGATCTCGTAACAGTCCACGAGCACAGGCACGGTTCCATATGAGGGTCTTTGCACTGGATGTTCTTTCCTACCTCGAACATGTTTTCTCCAGATAGCTGCATGGCTCACCTCGCCTCTTTCAAGTCTCTTCTCAAATTCTCCTTTTTCAACAAGGCGTACCCTGACCACCTTGTTTCCTTCTATGCTTGTATTTTTTTTCAATAGCACATATCACCTAATGTAATTTATTTACTATATTTATTACCAGCTTTGCCCTAGTGCAGTTTAAGCTCCCATAGTTTGTTTTTTGTTTTGTTTTGTCTGTATGTGCACCTACTTTGTTCACTGATACACACACGCATACCCCCAAGTGTCTAGAATAGTTCATGACATGTAGCACATAGTCAGGCAATATTTGTGGTTTTTTGTGTGCTTTTTTTTGGTTTTGTTTTTAATTAATTAATGGCTGCGTTGGGTCTTCAATGCTGCGTGCAGGCTTTCTCTAGTTGCGGTGAGCGGGGGCTACTCATTGCAGTGGCTTCTCTTGTTGCGGAGCACAGGCTCTAGGCGTGCAGGTTTCCCACCAGGGAAGTCCTAGGAAATATCTGTTGAGTGAATGAATGGCAGGACAAAAGTTGAAATGTTAGTCTCATATGCTTGTTAAATTACTTATTAAAAGGTCTTACATGCTGTGGTAAGAAATTTGGACTTTGTGTGCTTTTACTATTAGGGAGGCACTGAAGGATTTTAAGCTGATGGAAAGCGAAGGGATTTGTGTGTTAGAAGAGTCATTCTGGCCATAGTACAGAGATTGAAACCAGGGAGATAAATTAGAGGCTGACGCAATAGCCCAGGTACAAAATGTCAGAATGACTAAACAAGGTGGTTAGGCAGAAGGGAGATGAGAAACTAGGTTCTGAGGATATTTGGAGGTAGAGTTTGTGCGACTTGATAAACTCATCTCAAACTTCCATGGTTGGGCTTCCCTGGTGGCGCAGTGGTTAAGAATCCGCCTGCCAATGCAGGGTACCTGGGTTCAAGCCCTGGTCCGGGAAGATCCCACATGCTGCAGAGCAACTAAACCCGAGTGCCACAACTACTGAGCCTGCGCTCTAGAGCCCGTGAGCTACAACTACTGAAGCCTGCGTGCCACAGCTACTGAAGCTCGTGTGCCTAGAGCCCGTGCTCCTCAACAAGAGAAGCCACTACAATGGGAAACCCATGCACTGCAATGAAAAGTAGCCCATGCTCTTCGCAACTAGAGAAAGCCCGCGCGCAGCAACGAAGACCCAATGCAGCCATAAATAAATAAATAGATAGATAGATAAATAATTTAATTAAAATTTCCATAGTTGTGGGACAGGGGATTTCTCTAGGACCAGACAGATGGTGGTGGCTCTTGTGTTGTGGCCTAGATACACATCCTGCTGTGAGTCTCAGACTGGCTCCATACCATCCTGTGCAATGCACTGACGAGGTCAGAGGGATAAAGAAGTCCTTATAGTTTAATTTAAATCCTGGTTTACAATTTACGTAAAAACTTAAAGAAGCAGGAAGTACTTAAACTTCAAGAAGCGTAACAATGGGTAAATTATCAAAATAGGAAAGTAATCTAAGTCATAAGTTGTGTCTCATGTGTTTTGTTTATCATTATTCAACATTTTCCAATGTCTGCTGTGATCACTAAGGTAAGATTCAATTTTAGAAAAATCACTAGATAACTGTTCTTGCTCTAGAGAGCTTTCAGTCTTTGAACCTCAAGAAAACACACACAGAGGATTATTTTAAAATATTTATTGACAGTGTAGTGGGGGAGGAATAGAAATGTTGTGGTACTATTGATGTAAATTGGAAAGACAGATTTTCAGATGTGGGTGGGTGATCTCAAAGTGGAAGTGTTTGAGAACAGAATTGGCGATTCAATATTTCAGATATCCTGTACCTAGATATTTCATACACAGGCTCAAAGTTTTTCAGGGCCTTCTTCTTCTTTTAATTAATTTTTTGTTGTTGATTTACAGTGGTGTATTAGTTTCTGCTATACAGCAAGTGTATCAGTTATACATATACATGTATCTACTCTTTTTTAGATTCTTTTCCCATATAGGTCATTACAGAGTATTGAGTAGAGTTCTCTGTGCTATATATATATAGTAGGTCCTTATTAGTATTCTATTTTATATATAGTAGTGTGCATATGTCAATCCCAGTCTCCCAATTTATCCCTCCCTTTCCTCTTCCCCTTTGGTAACCGTAAGTTTGTTTCCTACATCTGTGACTATTTCTGTCTTGTAAATAAGCTCATGTGCACCATTTTTTTAG